AATATCAATCTTGTGTAAAAAAAAAAAAAAAAGAAAAAAAAAAGTGAAAAAATGTGAGCTGTGCATATGCCACTATATTTTATTTCTTTGTTTTAATTACAGGGAAACTTTTAGCTGGCCATTCTTACACCTTTAAAGGGGTCAGGCCTGCCATACACAGAACAAATGAACCAGTGAATCCAGGAATCAGGAAATAAAAAGAACATTATAGAAGGACCAATAGAATGTAGTAGAACATGCATAAATTGGTAAAATCAAAATACCAAAATGATAAAAACTGAAAGCACATTCAAAAATATTCTTTTGAGTTCAATTAAAGGCAGGCTAATTTGCTGTCTGAGTACCCCTGTTGATTTACCTTAATTTTGTGCCAAATTTTCTACTTTGGAATTGTTAAGACCTTAAGTCAAATCCAGGTTTCAAATATCTAAGATTCACAGCAAAAACATTTTTTCCAGGTTCGGGTCTTGGTGAATCTGATGCACTGTAACATTTCTGTATTTTCTACAATTAAACACTGTTCAAGCCAGTATGATACTTGTGTGTTACAGTTTGATACTGTAGCCTGCCTGGTATTCTGGGAAAATATTTCTGAGGACCTTGCTGTGTAGCTACAGTAACACTGTAAATAATTGTGATAACACAGAGTGTACATACAGTATCATACAGTATCATTAATTTTACTATAAAACTTGGTGCTAAAAGCTCTTACTTTGCAAAAGAACCTTTTTTTCTCCCTCATTTGATCATTTTTCGTTACCATTCTTTTGTCATCCAAGGTTTACATAATAAAAAGACAACTTCAATTATTTTAGTGAATCAGGGTACAAGCATAAGGGCACCAAGTTTAAACTGGGGCGATAGCTGTGCAACGCTAGCTAATGTTAGCCTAGCTAGGTAGTTAAGGTTTGCTAGCTAGCATGATATTTTAAATAGATAACCCATAAAGCTTATTTTCTTCTTGTTTTCTATGACATTCAGCAAATTGACCTACTGAAATTGTCACTGTTCTCATTGTTCATTTCAGCAGGTTGCTATTGTAAAATCTTTTATTTTAGCAGCTTCTAATTGTGTAACTTGATTGCTGATTCATTCATTCATTCTATAAGTGCTGTGAGTTCTTATTTTCTAATTATATTGATATTGTTTTTGTGAGCGGAAACTGTTAGTTTTTTTGTTTAACTTTTTCAAATTTATTAAGATGTGTTAAGATGTACAACGATCAGCCATAACATTAAAACCACTGACAGGTGAAGTGAATGACATTGATTATCTCGTTACAGTGGCACCTGTCAAGGGGTGGGATATATTAGGCAGCAAGTGAACAGTCAGTTCTTGAAGTCGATGTGTTGGAAGCAGGAAAAATGGGCAAGTGTAAGGATCTAAGTGACTTTGACAAGGGCCAAATTGTGTTGGCTAGACAACTGGGTCAGAGCATCTCCAAAACGGCAGGTCTTGTGGGGTGATATGATAGAAAGGTGTCAGTACACACAGTGCATCACAGCTTGCTGCGTAACCGCAGACCGGTCAGAGTGCCCATGCTGACCTCTGTCCACTGCCGAAAGCACCTACAATGGGCACGTGAGCATCAGAACTGGACCATGGTGCAATGGAAGAAGGTGGCCTGGTCTGATGAATCACATTTTCTTTTACATCATGTGGACAGCTGGGGAAGAGATGGCACCAGGATGCACTATGGGAAGAAGGCAAGCCGGCTGAGGCAGTGTGATGCTCTGGGCAATGTTCTGCTGGGAAACCTTGGGTCCTGACATTCATGTGGATGTTACTTTGATGCATACCATCTACCTAAACATTGTTGCAGACCAAGTACACCCCTTCATGACAGCAGGATAATGTGCCCTGCCACACTGCAAATTGTTCAGGAACGGTTTGAGCAACATGACAAAGAGTTCAGAGTGTTGACTTGGCCACCAAATTCCCCAGATCTCAATCCAATCGAGCATCTGTGGGATGTGCTGAACAAACAAGTCCAATCCATGGAGGCCCCACCTTGCAACTTACAGGACTTAAAGGATCTGCTGCTATCTGCTACATCTTGGTGCCAGATACCACAGCACACCTTCAGAGGTCTTGTGGAGTCCATGCCTCAACAGGTCAGAGCTGTTTTGGTGCCACAAGTGGGACCTATACAAAATTAGGCAGGTGGTTTTAATGTTATAGCTGATCTGTGTATACAATTGGCAAAAAAGAAAAGAAAAGTAGATGATACTAAAATTGCAGCTGTGAGTATTTACTGTTATCAATATACAGTCCTGTAAAATTGTTTTATATATTTTGTAAAGTTTTACAAAATATAATACAATGTACTACAGTAAACAACTGTAAACAAACAGTTACAAAAAGTTAGAAAACTGTAAACGTTAATTACAATAATGACTCTTCTGACAGTAAGTTACTGTAAATTTACAGGATATTTTTTTTTACAGTGGAAAATTCTGCTTATTAGTTTTTGAAGGGTTAAAGATTTATTCTACTTAACACAACTAAGCATTATTTAAGTAATTAGTAAATTATCACAATTGGCTAGACAAGTTACTGTAGCCTATGAATTTTTGCTACAAAACATACACACTGTAAGAAATAGCCATGTATCTATAGCACATGCTAAAACACTCAGAAATAAACATATTAAACTGTACTTTTCCTAGTGCTGGGGTGGTACTAACAAGGATACATCTTTCATACCTTTAGTGTGTATCTTCTCCCTGAAAATATGAATATAGTATATGTTTAAAATAATTTAAGGTACATAATTGGGCCTTAAGGACCAGTGATTTACCCAAGAAGGTACATATGATGTTCCTTTAAGGTACAAGATACACACTAAAGGTCCAAAAGGCCTTGCAATAAGGAATAGTACAGTTTGGTACTTTTAGTTCTGATAGTGAAATGTCTGCTGTCGTAAGACATATGTAGATTTCTTCATTCAGGAAGTCTGAGGTTATGAGAGAGAAGTGAAACATGCTGATATATGATCATTTTGACACATTTCTCTCATGCAGTGCAAAAACAGTATTTATGCACACGCAATTATTAGAACAGAAAAAAAAAATTCATTATGCGTGTGCCATTCATTCCTATTTTTTCATTCAAGATTGATTACCAATTGTGAAAATGAATAATTTACGTTTCATTTCACACACCTATGAGTGAGAGAATACAATCCAAGCACACAGCTGTGCAGATGAGGGCTAAGGGTTTTGCTGAAGGTCCCACTGGCAGTCATGGAGCGCACTACCCTAACCATTGATTGCCAGTGTTGTGAGTTGTTGTTCTTCTTTTGGCTGCTCCCGTTAGGGGGTTAGGGATCGTTTGCGGATCGTTGGTCCGCATATTTGATTTGGCACAGTTTTTACTCCGGATGCCCTTCCTGCCTCAACCCTCCCCAGTTTTATCCAGGCTTGGGACTGGCACTGGGAGTGCACTGTCATGTGCAACTCCAGTGGCAGGGGCTGGTCCCGTGGCCGGGAATCGAACCCGGGCCTCGGTGCTGAGAACGCCGTGGCCTAACCACTACTCCTACAGGGACCACGATGTTGCAAATAATTTCACAATTTTTTTTTTGGTAAAAAATGTTTCATAAATTTGTGTACAGACAGGTCCATGAATATTTGGACGTTGACAAATTTATTGTTTATTGATTTTTTTTGGCTGTCTACCACAGTATATTGAAGTTGAAATGAAATAATGTATATGACCTCATAGAGCTGACTTTCAGCTTTAATTTAAAGGTGTTTACATCCAAAGTGGGTGAACGGTGTAGGAATTAAACCTTTTTTTTTGGCAAAATCTAATCTGATCTTCTTGTTTTTTGAGGCTTACCAATGGATTACATCTTGTGGTAAACCCTCCGTATTTACTCTGGTGAAGTCTTCTCTTGACTGTTGACTTTAACACAGCGATGCCTACCTCCTGGAGGAAGCTCAACAGCTTTTTAAGAATGTACAAAATGGTTGATTTGGCCACACCTAATGTTTTTGCTCTCTCTCTGAAGGGTTTGTTCTAATTTTTCAGCCTAATGATGGCTTGCTTGACTGGCAGTGACAGCTCTTTGGACTTCATATTGAGAATTAAACAGTAACAGACTCCAAATGCAAATGCCACAACTCGGGAACTTTTATCTGCTGAATTATAAGTGAAATAATTTGGGAATAACACACAACTGGCCAGGGAAGAGCTGAGCACTCAATTGTGCAATCAGTTTTGGTCCCTTAAAAAAAAACACATATAAAAAAAGTACTGTAATTCCTACACCATTCATTCTTCAGTAATATTATACTTCAGTTGTGGCAAATCTTAAAACTGATGAAAACTTCTCCTTCTATGTAAATACTGTATTGTTATGAAGGCAGCCATCTTTGACAGCCAGAATTTGGTATCATTCTGCCTGTAGGCCCCGCCTCCGAAAGTTTGAAGGCAGAATTGTATTGAAAGCTGGAAGGATATGGAGGATCCCTGATGTTTAGACAAGTATTCATATAAAAGTGAGAATCTTTAACAAATCTTAACAATGTCATTTTAGGAATGTATATGAAGAAATAGCATTTGAGCTGGATCTTTTTTATTCAGTCAGTCATTCAACTTCAGTAATTGCTTTATCCTCTTCAGAGCTGACGCTGATCCAGAGCCAATCCTGGAAACACTGGACATGAGGCAGGAATACACCCAGAATGGAACTCCAGTCTATTGCAGGGCACCACACAGACATTCACACACTTATTCACACCTAAAGGCAAATTACAGTCACCAAACCACCTCCTGGCATGTTTGTAGGAGGTGGGAGGAAACTGGAGAACCCAGAGGAACCTCCATGAACACAGGAAGAACATGTAAAACTCTGCACTGGCAGTCAGAACTTAGGATCAAACCTTAGATGGACCTTGGAGTTGTGTCTCCGAATGAACCTAGTTGAATTTGTTCAACCTTTGCTCCACTTGTAACCAAGCATGGTCACTGATGTATAAGTGCAGAAAAAAAGCAAAAACAAGCATTTTTTTGGGAAATTTTTTTAATAGTTATTGAACGTTCTACATCTTACAGTAAATATTATACAATTACAAACTTGGCATAATTCTGTCACTGAGATCACTAATTGATCTTCCAAAAAAAATAAAATATAAAAACCCATAAAAATAATAAAAACAGATTTACACTTCATATCACAGGCCTGAAACGGGTCTCGTCGCCTCATAAGAGCATTCAGTTCAGTTTTACTGATAGGTGTGTAAAACCTGCTACAAAACAGATGAGTATATAATGTATTACCGACATAATGATCAAAATGTTCTTATCCTTAGTGTGTATTTGGAAGACGGTGACTTTTCCCTTCAGTATTCAGTTTTAATAGCAAACGAAAACACAGCAGACTAGGCATATGCTGATAATCAGTTAGATAATGGATCAATAAATTTAAAGCATGTGATAGGTCTTGGACGCATTCAAATTTTGTCACTAGTCAGGAGGAGTCTGCCTAGGCTGTTAGTATTTTTGGGCAGTGTTTGTTCTCCTAAGATAAAATCTTATTTGGAAGGCAGACAAATAAGTTTCCTTGTTTTGGAAAAAAAATGAAGGTGCATCATATGTGTCCTTTTCAGTAAAGGAGGCAATCCTATGATTCTGTTCTCTGAGTATGAGGAAACATGAAATGATTGATATAACCTATAATTTTACTACATGCTATAGTGCCCAATCTATAACTATAACGTTTTTATTTTGACATTTTCAGTACAGTATGAAGAAGGAATTTTTTTTTTTTACTTCCAGACATTTTTTTAATGGAAAGATCCCCTTTTATGTTCTGGCATCTGATAATATAACAGTACCACAATTTTACTTGAAGCAGGCCGTTATAAAGACAGAAAAGCGACAGAGTAAATGAGAGGAAGAGACCGTTTTAGACCTGTGCTCTGAAATGTCCCTCACACGGTTACGCACCACACTCCTGATCATCTACTTAAGAATAAAAGGAACATCAATCATTAATAAAAACTTAAATAACACTTATGGTAGAAAGCGCAGTAATTACAGGTAAGTGTGGACTCGTTTACTTTCAAACCTAACCAACTTTCATTAGTGTAAAAATATCAACAAAAACACTTCCAAATCCTACATTTTCGATTTGAGAGGTTCGACCTCTATCTCAGAAGCAACCTCAACCAGTGAACTGATTAATAACTTTAAATTGCATTGATTGCATTAAGTCTTGCATTACAAATCTGATTTGTTCTAATTATATCAATATTTCACTGCCTGCCATAATACTGTTATTAAGACTAGATGGATAGACAGACTTTAATATTGAAAAGGAGAAAGTGACAGAAAGAAAGACCAAGGTCAATTTGAAATATTTACAGTGCCCTTCAGACATACTAGCCTTCAGAAAATAAGCAAACAAAATGATATGTATCTTGGTTCTGACAAAATCACTCATTAGAACTACTTTTTAAAAATAGTATTCTCTCAAAAACATATGTGGCAAAATTAGTGACACCAGAAGGAATATTTTAAATAAATGCAAACAGTGTCATTCTGGAAAAAACTTGGACCACTATGCCTCTACGCCTCTACAAGTGTCTCCAACTTTGTCAGACATTACAGGAAGAGACTCAGTGCTATTATTCTCTCCAGACAAGGTGTCACGAAATATTAATTGTAAGGGTGCCAATAATTTTGAAACCAGTATTTTGCGCCAATGAATAAAATGTTGTGACTGAACAAACGTTGAAATAAAGGATTTACACTCACGATCTCTTGATGATAGGGTGACGCTTTTGTGTTGCGCCACTCTGGGGTGCCAATAATTCTGGAGGGCACTGTACATATATATGAACTAATTAATACTAGGACAAAATTGTGGCACACTAGTCTTTAGGCCAAATTTATTTTAGAATAGGAAAAAACATGTTGCTTTTATCCACCTACTAAATATAAAGGATTCTAGATGGTTCTAATGCATTTTACTTAAAAGTTAAAAATTTCATATATCTGTGGTGGTATAGGAAAACTTGTCAGTTGGTGCTATTCACCAGTTATCCCTATTCAATGGCAAACAGCCAAATAATGACAAAAAAATTCTTTTTTAATATCTTACCAAGACTTTGCTTAAATAATATGCAAACATTCCTCACCAAATGCCTTTTATTTACCATCTAAACCTGTCAGCTAGTGTTAGTAGCATTAGCATCTGCCTGTAGTCTCTCCTGTAGCTTAGCGAGGCTCATTCAGCAACTGTTTGTAAGATCACGGTAGTATAAACAGACAACTTGACTACCTAAGATAACAGAAAACCTAATAGCTGGGTAATTACCTATACGTTGTTTGCTTAACTGGAAGGACATGGAGAAAACCGGATTTAATATGGTGCAATCAAGTATCATTTTTCACTACAATGAATTGTTTTTCCTGTCTGTGGTGGCACACGGGTTCATGTGATTGACAGACGTAATACAGAGAAATAATGAAACAAAAACTTTTCATTTTAAAAGGCTACAACCACTTTGACATTTGTGGGTAGGATGATTGGAAATCTGATTGGGTGAATGAACTTTATGCAACCACAGTGGCAGTGCATGTAATACATTACCTTGCATAAGTATTTATCCCCCCTACCCATTTGTAATTATATGCCATCTACACAAAAGAGCCCATGCTACTGAAGCAGGAAAAACTGGTCAAGATTAAGGGCAAAATGGATGGAGCCAAATACAGGGCAATTCGAGAAGAAAATGCTAGCGACTTGAGACTGGGGCAGAGGTTTAACCTCCAACAGGACAATGAACCTAAGCCTTCTGCCAAAACTACAGTGGAATGGTTCAAAACTAAGAACCTGAATGTGTTAGAATGGTCCAGTCAAGCCCAGACCTCAATCCGATTGAGAGACTTGAAAACTGCTGTTCAGTAACATCAAACTCCCATCCAATCTGACAGAGTTTAATCAATTTTGCCAAGAAGAAAGGGCACGAACATCAGAATTCATTTGAGAAACGCTGATCAAGACACATCCCAGAAAACTTGCTGCTCTATTTGCAACCAAAGGTGGTTCTACCAAGTACTGACCCAGTGGGTGAATACTTCTGCAACCATCAAATAACTGTATTTTCATTTCACAACCTTTGTGACACAATAAAATATTTTGTACCTTCAAATGTTAGATATATTGTGTAAATCAAATTGTAAAAGTCCCAATTAAATCCATTTCAATTCCAGATTGTAATACTACAAAATGGGGTAAAATTCAAGGGGGGTAAATACTTGTGCAAGGCAGTATATACTTCGTCAATGAATGAAAACACAGACGTAAATGCTTCATACACGGGCATTCGAATACTCGTCCACATCCCTATATATATGACATTTATTTATATAAGTGTCATATATGTATTTGCTTCCTAATAACCTCAGTCTGAAACAATTGCTTAGCATTGACAACCGTTAACTTGCACAGAATATCCTCTCTTATGGAATGTTTAAATGCACTAACCAACAACAAAACAAAGATTTTTTTTTTTTATTTTTTACATTTTTGCCAGTG